TTCCCACAAATTACTATAGGGAAAGAGAGTCCTGAAAAGCAATAGAGGTACCGCAAAAGATTACCACAAGAGCACCACCGCATATTGCAACGGATATACGCGCATTATTGCAGTAAAGAGACCTTTTTGGCCCGTGGTTAAAAGTATTTGCCTACTCCTGTTTCACGCCATCTCTGTGGATTATTTCTTAACTTTTGTGGGTGTAATTTTCATTGGAAAATTTCCCGCTGCTTTGCTCGCTAATGATACTCTGTGTTGTTAGCAAAGACCCTTCTACAGTTTTGATAGTCAGGAATATATGCAATTCGCCAAATTTGTTCTGCCACATCTAACCGAAATTTTATAATCGAGGATTTTTTGCTTTTTGCTATACTTATTTTCTTACAAAATAAGAAAATTTATTATAATGTTCAATATCCGCTAAATATTTTTTTTAAAAAAAATTTACGTTTTCTTATCAGTGAAAAAGAAGATAAGTAATTATCTTGTATATCTACTTCACCTACGCATTGCTACATTACAAAACGATATTCGGTTTAACAAGTCGATGGAGACTTCGGGGGAAAAAAAAAAAAAGAAGTATCTTGAAATGCAAACAAATTAATTATCCTTTTAACGTTAAATAAAGAAAAGTCTGAATCCAATTTGGAAAAATTCGTTTTGAAATGTACAAGAACCACGTTTGGAACAATAATGTATACGGAATTTCGGAAGTCTGGCCTCTTCCGTCTCGCTAACTTTCTGCCTGCGACACATTACAGTAACTTTCTGTTTATAATCTACAGGTTTGTGTCAATGTAATCTTATAGCTTAATTTACTGCATTCTTATATAGTTCAACATATTGTATACTATTCGTAACATATTCCTATGATAAGATTCGAATTAAGATTTAATTGTAATTACATTTTGATAGTCTTTCATTATTTTCAGGAGAGAACTTTAAATAGAACATCAGTGATCTATATATAGCAAATGATGACCAATTGAGTGCTTTTCACATAAAAAAAATATTCAAACTTATTTCCATCAAATGTTTCACGTGAGTATTTTGTATCTAGCAGCATATAACTTGCTTTTTGACCCATCCGTGGCAGCGATCGTGGATTATATCAAAGGGTTTGAACATTATCACTCCAAATATTTCCCCAGTCTTTCATTTTTCAGAGATTTCATTAGAAGGCTTTGTGTCGCTTGGATAACAGATAGGAGTTATCAGTCCCTTCAAAGATATATGATGCTTCTTCTTGTCGTACAGAGACTTTGCTCTCTTCTGATAGCTTTGCTTCATTTTAGCTATAATTTGATGGCCCCGGTTGTAATCTGACGTATGGAGCAATTATCATCATGTTTCCTAGCTATCGTGTTTAATAAATATCTCGAATAAATATAGACCTTAGCTATTGGAGGTATAACATGCTTGAGAAGGATGCTTTTGTTTTCCATTCCGTACTCATCGCTAAGATAAAATTTCCCTCATCTATGATAATGTACTATATTTCATAAGGCAACTGAAAGGATATTGTATCAGTTACAGCAAATATTATAATACAGTTTGAAATATCTCTGTGTAACAGATACATATAAATATATGTTTGAAGTTTTTTTTTACAGATGAGCTACAGAAATATTCAGGTTTTGAACACACTGTAGCAATAATCTAGAGTGAAGGACGTGTTGTTACATGGAGAAGGCCTAGAATTAAAACTAATTTCTCAACTCATTTCTAACTCAAGGTTTCTAAATTCAAAATTTACACATTTGACTATTAAAAAGTTTGATATCGTATTCTATCATGCGTCAAATTAAAATTCAGTAAATTAACAATTTTGAAGTTTTAATGTATTCAAAATTTACACAACAGTATACATGAAGACTGGTTGGTATCCGAAAGAACGTTTTAACTGGGTATAAGAATTCGATTATTTTGTTGCGAAGTGTAAAAATGTTTGTATTAAAGCATAGTTGAGTATTTATTATTATACACGTTCATTATACTGAAAAAATAACCATTAATCAAAATAAAATACGATAACTCACATTTGTTTTCGGACACTTTTGAAATTTATTTTTGTAGATCTATTAAATGTCGAGACAAAAAATTCAAAGATTTTTCCAATAAATTTTTTTCTCTCATTTCAAGCGTTTCCTGTTGGAAAATGAATATCATCAAAATATATCTTGGAATAAAATAATTTATTCAAAATTCTTAATCAGTAACTCTATAAGGTATTTCTCCCACTTCCCTAGCGTCCTTCGTGATGTAGTGGTTCTGCACGCTGGGCCGGTATTCCAGAGGTCCGTGGTTCCAATTAACCTAATGACTCTACAAGTGGCGCCCGAACTATAATAATTAATATAATAATTACAATATAATATCGCTATAATAATTATTGTTGTGGATGATGATTCTCCGCACCCAGGATTTGGCGACTAGGTCCCCTAAAAAACCCTAGTCGCCCTTTAAAAAGGGGAGTATATAAGGTATTTCTCCCACTTCCCTAGCGTCCTTCGTGATGTAGTGGTTCTGCACGCTGGGCCGGTATTCCAGAGGTCCGTGGTTCGATTCCCGGCGAAGGCGGTTGATAATTTTTCAATCTATCTTGCTTCTCAAAAAATCCTAATGACTCTACAACTCCCTTAATAATTCATATTAAATCCTTCTCAAGCATTTTGTTGAGATGCTTTGATAAACAATGTTTCTTGTTACAGGTTTCGTTCTGAATGAAAATGTATCCTAAAAATTATTGTTTGCATTTAGAAATTATTACTTGTTTATCGTAATAAATTAACAGTTCTACATCTGAAGTGCACATGGCGAAATATTACAAACTAACGGCACGTTCTGTTAGAAATTGAATAATTCATTTTTTGAAGACGATAAAAGTGTTCAAAATTCCCCAAAAAATTCTTAATTTAAAGATTTTAACTATCTTTGATGTTATGAAGCAATGGAAATTGCGTGGAACTGCTGAAAATGCACATAAGTCTGGACCACATTTAAAGGAATCGCGGATTGATTTTACGAAAAATCAGTACTGTAAAATGTTCAGCAGTTTTAGAACAGTTTTCAATAAAAATGAACCCTGAGGCTTTTAGAAGCATCATTGAGGGTGTATGGATACAGTGGGAGAGCAGCAAGAAGGAAATTCTTCGTGAAGAAGAAATCGAGGAATATGCTCCTGGCGTTCACAGAATCTGTAGTAAGCAAAGTTTTAATATATTGGAACTATGTTACGTGTGCAGAAAAGTCAAAATTTACTATATTTGGGTCCAATAAATGATTTAATATGTGGCAAAAGACGAATTAAAAATTGAATTATGAAATAGCTACTACGGAATAGGATAGAATGGTTTGGGATGTATCGCTGCCTTTGAAATGAGAAATTTAGATTTTATTGAAAATAATACGGATTAGAATAAATACATAAACATTCTTAATAAAAATCTGAAATGATCTGCAAGCAAACTAGGAATGTAAAGTGAATTCAAGTTCTATCAAACTATAGATCATGCAATCGGCATACGATCCCAAATGCTCGCTTGTCGTTATTATTGTAGCTATCGAAACTTCTCCATATTCTCTGAGCTTAAATCCTGTATGGAGTGAGTAAATACGTACGGGGGAGTTGGAGAAAAGCATTGTAAGGTATTTCTCCCGTCTTCTAAGCGTGCCTTCGTGATTTAGTGGCCTGCACGCTGGGCGCATATTGCAGAGGTCCGTGGTTCGATTCCCGGCGAAGGCGTTGTTCATTTTTATCTTGCTCTGTTCCCCCCCCAAAAAAATCCTAATGACCCTACAGTGGCGCCCGAACTAAAAGGGTGGTGGAGGGTGATTCTCCACACCCTAGGATTTGGCGATTGAGTTCCCTAAAACCACAGTCGCCCTTTAAAAGGGGGAATATATAAGGTATTTCCCCGCCTTCTTAGCGTGCCTTCGTGGTGTAGTGGCCTGCACGCTGGGCACGTATTCCAGTGGCCCGTGGTTCGATTTCAGGCGAACGCGTTGTTCATTTTTCATATCTCCTGCTTAAAAAAAATCCTAATGACTCTACAGAAAAAAAAAAAAAAAAAAAAAAAAAAAAAAAACATGACATTTCTTCGAAAACACTACTAAAAGCTATTCACGCGTACAAATGGAACAAATGGAATATTCTTATGCATACAAAAATTAGTTCTATGCGAAAGTAGTTCCATTGAAACCATGCCAAGAGCGAATGAAAAGTGTTATTTTAGATAAAGGATGTCCAACGAAGTATGTCCCGCTGTTTTTTAAGTTTCTCTTAAATATAAATTATTTTTTCAAAGCGTCCAAATACTTAAGTGAGTTCATTTTCAGAACGTTTTGAAAAAATAGTATTTTCTATCAAAAATGTCTTGAATAACTATTTTTAAAACAAGAAGATTTTGCAGTTGTTGATCAGTAATATATTTGAAAACAAAATAAAGTTATTTCACTAATATTCAGCAACTGATATTTGCAAATAAAATTGAAAAAACAAGCAAATTCCCTAAATTTGTTGAGAAGAATTTTTTGAAACATATAAAGCTTTTATTTGACTAAGTTTCACGTTTCAGTTTAATTTTATTGTTCCTTAACATTATTTTATTTATTTCTTTGCATCTACAATTAGTGTACAATTGATGATAGACAACCACTTTGTTTCCCATTTGTAGTATCTGAACGGGAATCAGATAAATTTCAGAAAATGTCAGCAACTATGTGATGCAATTAAAATGAATAACTGACAGTAAAAATGTCGTATGTTACCCTGTATCGTGAATTTGTAGTATCCTCTTTTGCCATACATTTATTTTTTTAGATTTTTGAAACATTAGTTTTCAGAATGTAGTATCTTTTCAACTACGAAATTGTACTTAATAGCTAATTTTATTTCAACTGAATTAAATTAATTTTATTAACTGAAACAATAAATTTAATTAATAATATTAGCTGAAATAATAAATTTAATTTGTTGTAAATAAAACTTACAAACTGAGTTAGTTTTTTTGTATATTTTATTTACATAAAAAATATTACGAGTCTGAAATTATACATAAAAAAATAAATATGTTTTCTATGAGTCTTGCATCAAATTCCTCTTGGTATCCTTTCTATTTAATCTGCAAAGAAAAATAAAAAGAATTATTACAAGAAATATTACTGTTGCTTTTAAATAAACTGTTTCAAAGACGTACAGTTTTACACACAATGTTTTAAACGCAAGTACATGGCAAGCATAAATTACGGTTACGATTCCATTGTATGTGCACTTTTATAAAACGCATTCACATAAAGATTTTTATCAAGCCACTTCTTCTGTAAATATCTTCAATTATTATTATTATACTAATTACTATGAAATTAATTGATTGAGAATTTGAAAATTTTATAATTTTGAAGGCGGACAAGTAGTTTAATTGTCGAGTAAATAGCTAGGAAAATATACCTACTGAAATTTATTTAAACAAAATTACACATTACAGACATTTTAATTAAAATTTTATTTATATGAACTTCTGCATTATATTTGCTACACTTACTTTTTATTTTTAATGGTATGAGGTAATAAGCTAATATTAAATGCTCTCGTACTTAATGCAATGACTTACCCAAGAATTACTTATTACTGCGTTTGAAAAGCAGCTGATTTGAAGAATAAACTACTAAGTATTCGGGAAAAGTTTAATAGCCTTACGAAGAAGCGGGAGGGAGACCTTGCTTCATAGCAAGAAAAATAGTTCGAAATCATATTAATTACTCTTTATTTTTATTTGTATTATATTTTAATGATACCGTACAAGCAAAGTTTTGATAAGGAAGTTCTTTTTCCCTTCAATCAGTAATTAATTTATACCCCCTTTTTATCTTTAGTATTAAATTTCGCAAAATATTACTAGATTTTTCATAATAATTCATATGATATGCGTTTGCTGGTCTTAGCCACTAGGTTTTTAGAAGATGGAATCATGCGAATCTGAAACTACTATCAAATTTAAAGAATCTTCAGATTTTTCATTATCTCAAAAATTACTCATTACTGCATTTTGCTCCAAGAATGTAAGGGAAAATCGTCCTTTTTACTGTATTTCTAATGAAAATAAAATGTTCAGATATTGGAATATAATTTTGCATTTATGTTATCAGGTTCAATGTTCCGTCTTACTTTCTTTGGGAACATGCAAGGACCTGACTCGGAACAGGGAGCTTACTAAAGCTATGTTCAATAACTGTGGGAAGTAGACAGGATACACAAGAAGGGTATACAAAACCCTTTATTTTTTCTCTCTTTACAATAATTTCCGTACTTCGGAATACAAAGACCCACTACTTGTGGTCTAAACGTAAGAATATAAAAATATAACTAAACTCTAACTTTGAAATAATAAACGTGGAGTATTGGCCTTATATTAACAGGAAGCCGTATATATTACAGAGAACTGTTAACACTACAATACGTTTAAAATTACCAAGAGGATTAAACCTCTGGCCTGGAAGGCAACCAGCAACTGAGTAAAACTTCTAAGGTAGGCGGCCTGCTTCGACTAACTGCTTCCCCTCCTCCGCTTGGCAAAAAGCCACAACTTAAGTACTTGGCGTTCGCCAGACAAATTTTGCATAAATAAGTTAACGCTTAAAATTCTGGCCGGAAGTAGAAAATAAGAAGTGATAGTAAAGATTTAAAATAAAATAAACGTTAGTAAAACTTAAGATCCTTACAATGTGTTCTGACTGACAGCAAAAAGATTATGTATTCTGTTATAAGTACAGTTACGGATTCTGTGTTTAATAAAGATTTATTCAAAAAATCCCATTTTTCTTAAAAAACAGAAACTTTTCAATTTTTCCTATTCAAAGCTCAAAGTGTTCAAAACGTGTTATTGAAATTGATGTTTACCATGTAGAAATTCTACTATATATATATAATTAACATAAAACTTTAAAAAAACTTACCTGAGTTATGAAGACGTTTGTTCAATGAAGAGCTAAATGTCCAAGACCATGGCCCACAGCTCCGTGAGCCAAAAGATCATGTCCTCCGTGAGCGAAAAGACCATGTCCTCCGTGAGCCAAAAGACCATGTACTCCGTGAGCCAAAAGACCATGTCCTCCGTTAGTCAAAAGACCATGTCCTTCGTGAGCCAAAAGACCGTGTCCTCCGTGAGCCAAAAGACCATGGTTAGCCAATCCAGGTGCAATTAATGCATGAGCTAAAGGAGCAGCTCCAACTAGACCATGAGACAAAGGAGCTGCTACAGCAGCATGACTAACAACAGCAGCGGCAGGGGCTACATGACTGACGACTGGGGCAATGGGTCCAGCGTGTGGGCTGGCAATGACAGCGGCTGCTGGGGCGCTGGCCGCTGTTCCTGGTTCATTGGTCTTAACCGCAGCACGAAATCCGAGACCATCAGCTACGTAATCAACGCGTCTGGCTCTGCCATCAATATCATGAATGGTGTAAGATCCTTTTTTGTTGCCATGAGCGTCACCAATTTCGGATCTGGAGTTGGAGGCACCATGTCCATCAACGATGTCGTAACCGAAAGCGTAGTTTCCGATAGCCTGCAAATATGAACAATGAATAAAAGGGCAAAACATGTAATCTGAGTTAGAAAGAAATTTATAAATAAAAATTTTGTTTATTTACTAAATTTTAAGGTAAGGAACAATGCAATAATATATTAATGAAATTCTTAAATCCAGCATCTAACTTTTGAGTTTCAAGGCAGCGATGTTTGCACATACTAATAAATAATGTAATATTTCGTGATCACATTTCAAGTTAATGCAATTTTGTAATCTGAATTTTACAATTTATGCGGCATTTCGTATTTATTTTTGATATTTCAATATCATATAACAAAAAATTTTCCCCTTTTTTGAAAGATTAAAGCATAGCATTCATGGGTATGTTTCCATTAGAACACCAACAACATGATAAAGAGAAGAACTGTGGAAAAATTTATATCTGTATATAAAACTAGCGAGTTGCCTTCAACTTAACTGCAACATTTTCTGGTGTTACAGGCCACTGTAGATTTACATAGCCTTCCCTCATTATTGATTTGAAACTTCGCGTAAAATTAAAATCGAGATCTTATTAATAAAACAGAAGTCTCATTGAAGTATTAAAAAAGCGCTGGCATTTCATACTTTGGAATTCGAGATAATAAATCTAAATCAAATTAATTTTAGAAAATACTCTTCGAAAAGTAGATTTTATTAACAATATTTTTAAAAATAAGATTTTTGTTTTGGTTTATGATAATATAGATATTTTATAAGAATACATAACAACTTTTATTTAAAAAATATAGGCAATTACGAATCAAAGGAAACGATAAATTAAATCATACTATTACTAAAATTTAAGGTTACAAACACAGATGAAAATACAAATTGCGCAAGTAGCTTTCCCTAGGTACTTTAAAATGCTTTATTTCTGGACTCTTTAACCGGGCAGAACGGTAGCGTAATTTATTACGCGCCTCGACAACTGAATGTCATTACGCAGACTGGATCCCAACTGAAATACCCCGGTACTAGGCACGGAGTGGCAATTCAGCCAAAAGCCATCTTGCAGATGATCGAGCTAACTCCTACCGAAGACCCGGAACCCACATCCCCGACCAAGGATCAAGGCGTTTGGATTACGGAGTACCTTTGCAATTAATTGCAATTACCTCCACATCATCGTTCATAAAATTGAAATAAATAAGAGAGAAGCAGTCGCTAATGTGAAAGGAAAGAGCAGTTATGCTAAAGTCAAAAGTCGCTACCATCCCCGAGTACAACAGCATTAAAATTAATCTCCAAATCCACCGCTGAATTGGTCAACTTGAGCCACTGTCCCATAAAACAGACGACGGTGGGGTGGGCTGAATGCCTGGAGCTTTGATTGGCCGTTAATGTGCTACCTACCAGTACTACGCGGGCAGCCCCTCCCCACAGGCTTTACACAGAATACGGAGGACAGCGTGGACTGGACACTCAATGGCCCAGGCGCTATTCGTCTACTGATATCCTAGTTAGCTGGGACTTCCGCCATCAGACTCGTGAAAAGTTGGGATGAACCCTTCCCCACAGATCATCGGGAACTTACAGGCTCACTATTATTATACCCTTATGGCCGAGACTGCCCAGGTACAAATCCTAGCCAGTAGCTTCACAGAATACTCTGCATCGAACCCCGGGGGAATTAACCGAGGATAAAAGTAACAAGGGCCATTTCAGAATGGCCTCTGCCCTGGGTCCTTTGCTTTTGCCCCTTTGTTGCTTTATGTCTCTGCACTAGTAAAGTAATTATAGTACTGGAAAATGTATAGTAATTATGCTGTTAACAACATAAGATATGCGAAATTTAAACATTATCTCGTTTAAAATTTAAGATGAATATTTTGGAAGTACTTACATCTTGAGATCTAGAACTGACACTTGAACCGGTACTGATCAGAGCTTTGTGCCCGAGGAGAAGTCCAGTGGCATTTACGGCTACAAGAGCAGCGCAGAGAACGACGACCTGCAAAAACGTAAAATAACTAAAGATCAATCAAGTATATTCATTATACTAATATAAAATAGAGGCATAAATACTAAAAAAAATGTTTTTAAGATTTTAGTTAAATTGTTAATATTTCATTTACTAAGAATCTAGAAATTTACTCCATAAATGGTTTAGTAGTTAAGACACGTACTGTTTTATTAAGTGTTGAAACACAGTTCCAAATACTAAGCAGTTATTTAATTTAACTTCCAGTTATTTCTCATAGCAGATCTAACGAAGTTTGTATTTCAATGTTGAAAATTGGGAAACTCTGTAGTTTCAAATGCTTTACAATGTGTTGAAAGTCATTTCAAAGAAATCGCGTACTTCTTTTACTCAGAATTCAAAATTTGCTAACAGCATAAATCTTCGTATTTTTTAAAATACGGTATCATACATAAAATATAAATATTAATTTAGTCTTTTAAGAATTGGATGATATAAATTTAAATTCGATTGCTAGGGAAGAATTCTCATAAATCAAATAAGGAAAGAACATAATATTAAACTCCTTCATTGATAATTTTAATTTCGAAAACATTTCTTTCTAACGAAAAAGGGAATTAAATTTAAAGCATCTTTGTGCCTTTAATTAGAACAGCACTATTAATTAGGAGAAGTCGGAGAAGTATTTTGTCGGATCAATTGTAATTCGGTAAATTTAGTATAAAAATTAAACCGTTTTTATATATAATTTTTATATTCCTATTAGAAAACTCATATTATTTTTCTCCCTGTAGATTTGAAGAAATTTTCTCCTCAAAGTGAATTTTATTTTTCAGGATAAAAAGTGAAATGCTTATTGAGAAGTCCTGGTAACGAAGTAAAATGTCAGGGAAAAGCGAAGTTATTTTATAGCTCGAATATTAAATTTGTATATAATTTAGTGGATGACAAGTAATTTTCCAAGCAGTTTTGTTATTCAAACAAAAGGTTTCAAATTATTTAACATTTTTATCGCAAATTTACTGCATATTATATATTAATACAAGTATTTTATATTAATACAAGTATTTTATGTTATTGCAATAAAAAACGGGTACTGCTCAAGAAAATTTTAAGAAATTTGCTTATTATTAATACGCATTAACAGTTTTTTTTATTATATTACGTGAAATATCAATTATGTCTTTTATTATTTAGGGAAGTTAAAAAGCTTTATTTTATGAGGTACGAATAAAATTTGATGTAGAAGTTTACCAGTTTAAATTTGAAGGAATCGTTTTAAATGACTACTTGATAAAAGTCTTCTCAATTGTTTTAGAAAACTTTGGATCGAAATTTCACGGAGGAGGCAAAATTCTTCTATCTCTCTATTTTCACATGATATCGCAAAAACTTATAAAGATTTTTCCAGTTAAAAAGAAATTATGCAAGTAAGCAAAAGATTGTTCTGAGCATTTAGTAAATATTAAACAGACAGATGACTCTAATTCAAAGAAACAAAAATAGTAGTCTACGATTGCAGACGATTGCTTTAACGATTGCAGACAAAGGCATAAGCTATAGACAAAAAGTTAAGCCGGTATTAATTTCAAAGTGAAAAACAAGAAGACTATGTACATACCTTAGCGAACATGTTTGAGACTGTTAGATTTCTAAGCTCGAAAACTATGATCGTTACAAAACGTTTACAATATTTATAGTGAAAATTTCAAGGTCTCTGAAGGCCACGCTTCTAAATTGATTCAGCACTTCTTAATCATCATCTATAAGACTGTCAACGAGCCACACCCAAATAATGTCGTTTGAGCCATAGCACTATCTTCCATAAAAACAAGTCATTAAGAGGATAATTGTTGTTTCGAATTCTTTCTCACCTACTTCTGAATGGGTCTCGAATGGAATGTGCACGAAAATCAAACAAATGACCTTGAAAAGTGAAAATATACCTCAGGTACGTAAGTCAGGAATTCAGTTTCGATAGATTATGGATGCGGAAATTTCATAAGCGAGTAACAGCCTTGCTTATAGCCATTTAAGGTCTTAGGTGTAGCATACGTTTGGTCAGGTCACACCCAAATTCTCAGCTTAAATGACGAAAAACAAATAATCGCGTATTTTTATCGCAATTATAAAACGGTTGATCCCTAAAAATCATGACCCTGAGCCTTGGAGTATGAACAATGATAAAGGTCTAACAAAAATCAAGGGTAATTAAATCAGACCTATCTCTTACAACACGATCTGTGAGATCGATATATAATAAATCAAAGTTTTCGATAAGACAAACTAAATATAAGATTGCAGAATTCGAAATTAGTGTTAATTTTCTCTTAAGTCGAATTTTCGACTGCTCAATTTTTTTTTTTTTTTTTTTTTCTGTTGTCGGCATGTTGAAATTCGATTGTACATAACAAAAAGCAGAGAACAGTACACAAAGGTGTAAAACTAAACATATATTACCTAGAATCTACCAGAGTTAGGACATTTAAATCTTAGAATTTCAGAAAATTTATGAAAGGTTGGAAATTCGGAAATTCGACACTTCGATCATTTTTCTTAATTCGAATCTTTCGAACCTTAACCCTGTAGACACATTAGATATTTTTTGGAAGCAGGAAAAATAAAAAAAATATGCAACGCCTTCGTCGGGAATCGAACCGCGGATCTTTGGAGTGCGCGCCCAGCGTACAGACCACCACACCACGAAGGTATGCTAAGAAGGTTGGAGAAATACCTTATAACCTAAGAAATCGTTAAATATCTTAAATCAAAACTTTTGAAACTTCCACTAATAAGTAATGAAAAGTTTCATTAAAAAAAAAAAAAAAAAGAACGCAGTAGCTTAAATTTCAATTGATTTGGATCACTAGTGTCATCTGCCGTGAGTGCCACTCTTTTAATTTTCCAGCAAGAAATTAATATTCTATATTTGGTATTTGCCCATATTAACTGCTGAAATAAACTAAACTTGCATTTATTTATAAAGATTCTCTGAAAATATTAAATACTTGAGTTGTTACTCAAGGATGTTTGTCAAATTACGATTCCATTAACAAAGTGCATTTTAAATATTAATTTTAATTTAAACAGTTTTAATTATGTCTATAATTTATTAAATTTTTGTAATATCTTCTTAAAAATGTAGCTGTAACTGTGTAGAGACATAAGGTTATTTCGAAACAGGAGACGTGAAAAATGAGCAATGCCCTTACCGGGACTCGAAGCAAGGACCTCTCGAATACGCGTCGAGCGTGCTCACCACTACACCACTAAGGCATGCTAAGAAGACGGGAGAAATACCTTATAACTGTATTCTGAAAATAGCTCAAATCTTACATTTTTTTCAATAACCGTTAAATGAAATATTATTTTAATTAAGACCTTAAAATATTCACCAAAGTTTTTTTTTTTTTTTTTTTTTTTTTTTTTTTTTTTTTTTTTTTTTTACGAATATAATTGTATGAAAGATCTGAAATATTCGTGACTGGAATGTCTGGAGCGATATGAGAGCCGTTTAAAATTCGGAATCGAGAAAATTAGGACTCATGCCACCTCTATAATCTACATGTTCAAAATCACAGGTAAATAAATATTTAAAAATCAAAATTGCTCATGTTTGTTTGTGTATATATTTAATAATTTAGTAGGTGTATAAAATGCAAGAATAGTTTTGATGAAAACTTTAGGACATGCAAATTTAAAATATTTATTCTTAAATTATCCATTGGCTTTAAAAACTTTAAAAGTTTTTTAAAAATCTATTAATCTCTAATAATCTATTAATTAAAAAAAGATAAACTCTATTAATCTAATTAAGGGAGAAATCAAATAATATTAAGGGAGAAATCATTAATTAATTAAGGGAGAAATCAAATAATATCATCAGTAATCTTTTCAGTGCTGGTATAGCAGGCTTCGAATATCATTTGAATGCAAGTGTTGTTACATGATACAGAAAAAAAATCGGGATAATTTCATGAAACTTGTACGGGGGGGGGGAAATCCATTTTTAGAAAAGTAGAATTTCATATGGTTCCATCTTTCTGAAAGATTTTACCAAAGTTACTAAATGAAAATATAAGGTACTAATCATAAAACATTTCGCATTATATAAATTACATTACTTCGCATTATATAAATTAATGTTATAATAAGTATGGACACAGAAACTCGTTTTCGCTTAAAGTATATTTCTCAGTAAACCGGGCCTTCTTACTCTACAGGCCAAAGATAATCCACATGTCTTCTGGCCTATCATCTGATGATTCCACCTAATTCTATTTTTTCCATTCATAAAAATAGCAAAAACGAACATTGAATGAATGTACAGCTTCTGAAAATAAGTTGCGTTTAGCGCCTCCAGCTGTCTTAACCGGCCTTGCAATAAACCTTGTTTTAAGTATTTCTTATTTTTTGCTTGTAAATTATTTTTTCTTTCGCAAATACGTTTAAAAAATTATTATTCTGCTCTTACTTACCCATAATTTTTACAATATGCATAACTGTATTTGGATTTAGAATTTGTAATAGATAAACATATATTTGGAAGAGGAAAACGTCAGCGTAAAATTTAAAGCCAAGCAAAAACGTTACCTTGGTTTTTGTACACCTACAATAAAACTCTATAGATTTCGAGGATGATCTGACATAGTACTCTGGTATTCAAAAACTTTATTTCATTTTTTACCACTAAAGTATAACGAATTTGCTAGACTGAAAAGTACGTACAATATGTCTTTTTCATTAAGCTACTAAAGATTTAATTACAGCTACACAGGGCATAAACTGATACTCACTTTCACGGTAGCTACATGAAACAAATCGGAAGTCAAACAGAGCTGATGCAAGTCCTGCGGTCTCAATGGACTGCAGAGTTTAAAGGTTGCAAATGTTTTTTAGCTTCTTGTAAGAAAATTAAGCAGCAGCACAGATTGCATCTTGAGACGTAGCAAATTTCATTTTAAATGTTTTTATACTGTTTTCAATCGTAAAACATGTTCTTTTTAACAGCCAATGAAACTAATTTGGTAATATTCACAGACTGATGAATTGAAAAGAAAAGCAACATATTAATCAAAGACTGGAAAGAAGGAAATATATATATTTATTTATTTATACGAAAGTAGAAAGATAACATTAACAAGAGAGACCTTAGTGGTCAAGAATGTATGAATCGTGCTCCAACGAAGCACCAGATGTCGCTTAGAAACTCTCCAGGTAAACACATCTTCGCTTGGTTAGGGAAGTCCGACAGAAGCGGTCTAACGAAACGCTGGTCGCACATAGGCGATTATCTAAAATGACCGCACGTAGGTGGTCAGCTGCATCTTTTACCTCTCATACTGGAACTAGTGCTGTGATTCCTCTCCTAAACATATGTAGTCCATTTGTACATACTCATCCCGTTTATCTTTTCTTCTGTGAACCAGGAATGAAACCTGATACTTTGAACAGTAGGTGTAATTTCTGTTTAATCATAAGACGTCACCCCCAAAACAATTTTGCGCATTGAGCTGCAAAATTTTTAAAATATTTGCGAAGATGAGGAATTTCTTGATTACTTTTAATATGTTTTAAAAATATATGCCTATTTGATAAAAGTTAAATGTGAGGCAAAATGTATAAATGGAAAAAAAAAAGTTTAAAATTTACATTTTTTCGTGATTCCTTAGAATAAAAGTAAGATGTGTAAAAGAGAATCCGCTATATTTTGTACAGTGTTTCAAAATGATAAATGATAGTATAATACATTAGAAGAGAAAGTTCGGAGAATCATCTGTGAAGAGTTATTAGCATAATCTAATAGATTAGAAGAGAAAGTTTTGCGTATCTTAAGTATTAGTAGTGTAAAAAAAAAAAAAAAAAAAAAAAAAAAAAAAAAAAAAAAAAAAAAAAACTAAGAAATGTAAAAATGTAATATATTAATTAAACTAGATTGAATGAACATCATACTCATTGGTTTAAATTTATAGAAAATATTATCAGTGAAAACCTCTAGAGGTAAATTATATGCTTGTAAATTCCAGCTTCAATTTCATAGACAGAGAAACATGTATATATTTAGCTTTTCGCTTAGAGAAATGCAGATGTAACATCAAAAAGTATTTAAAACAAGGAAAATGATAAGAGGAAACCTTAAGAGGGAAAAAAAATAGGAGAAGAAAAATTCTTTAAAGAAATTTAAAAAAGTACTTTCATGTAAAAAAAAAAAAAAAAAAATTAAAAATTACTTTTTGAAGTAAAATATAGGAAGAAAAAAGACCGAGTTTGTAAATAAATAAATAAATAAATAAATAAATAAATAAATTAAAATAAATAAATAAATAATCGTATGAAAATAAACATAACGTTTCTAAAATAAGTAAGCGAAAATTGTTAAAAACGGAAAGTAAAAAATTAAGCTGAAGGGGGCGGAAACTTTTGTAAAATAAAAAGAGAAAAAATGTAAATTATGAAAAAGTATTACTTTTATAAAATATATTACTTTTGCAAGTTAAACGTAGGGGGGATGTAATATTTAGAAATGTGGAAAGAAAAGAAAGTCTTATGATTGTATATAAAAATATGGAGTGAAAATTAGTAAATTTTAATTTAACGGCGAGAAGAAAAGAAAATTACGTAAATTATGTTTGTACTATAAAGAAACGTGAAATTAAAAAAAAAATCTTAACCT